TTGATTCGCCCCGAACCGGCGTGGACGAAGCTTTATCGAGATCCGCGGCATATGCGCGGCCCGGATCTACGTGTGTTCCCATGCATGCGGAGAGATGCGAGGGCTCCGAGGACACGTGCGGCTGCATCGCCATAATGGGCCCTGACGAGACGATATGCGCCATCTTGAAACGGCCCCGTGTCGTTGCGAACATTTCCTTGACTTTTCGTAATTCAACGATTCGCCCTTTTCGACAAATTCTACCCTTTAGCCGCTCCCTTTCCACGTGATGTTCCTATGAGACGTTTGCAGCACTCTTATTGCGGTTGCACCGTGACTGCTGCACTTGCCAGACGTCGATTAGAAATCAATCCCACATCAGAAATATTTAATAACATTTAGAATGCGTTAATACACGCATTTCTGTGAAAGTGACATGTCTATCGTCGCGCTCGTTCGCGCCATCTTGATTTTATTCCGGCCATCTCATATCGCGTTCCCATGAGTTCGGATTTGCGATTTCCCATTTCCATCAAATTCCACCCTTTCGTCCCTCCCATTTCCATCGGCATTTCTGTCGGAAGGGAATTACGTTTACAGCGCTTTTATTGCATTTCCAATACCCTTGCAGCATTTTCAGCACTCCTACTGTGTTTGCCACGCCCTACTTCTTAAGACAGCTGTATTTCTGCAATATAATGAATAACAATTTCTAATAAGTTGATAGACATATGTGCAACACAAAATTACATTTATACGACCCGACTCGAGTCCCACTGATGGTGCACTTTTGTGGCGGTTGCTCTATTGCGGTCTTTAATCGAACGGTGGGCGCCATCTTGGTACCATTACGAGCACCCACGTCACATCTCCCTGAGCCCGGATTTGCGAATCCCCATTTCCGTCAAATTCCACCCCTTAGCCGGTCTCGTTTCGTATGACATTTCTGTGGGAGATAAATCACATTCGCCGCGGCTTTCCAGCATTGACAGCGCTTGCTGCGGTTGCAGTGCTCTTGCTGCATGTGCAGCGCTCCTGCTGCGTTCTTGCAGTCGGCTACAAACTAAATCACCCCGTACATCCATATTCCATTTTCAAGAATAAATTGCAATACACGGTTCAACTCGATAGAATAGTCAAAAGAGTCAACGAGGGTGTAGATTAATAAGGGAACTTTTATCGGGGTGGAATACCTCGACGTAAATTAAATCCAATGAAATGATTCTTGATGCACTTAGTGGCGGGAAATTTAAATCCGCGCTCCGATTTCGGAGCGCAGAGCCTCGTTAGCGATCATTTCGGAATCGATGGAAAGTCAAAGGTACAATGAGCCAATTCGTGCGATCATCCTCGTAAACCTCGTCGGGGATTCAAATTGAGGGGATCGCGAGGCAAAAATAAGAAGAACAGGGAAGTTCATGCTCGAAAGCTCCTTTCGGGAAGAAAGGCTCGCCTCCGAGGGGGGGGCGATCGCCCGAACGGCCTCGGCAATTGAAAGCTCTTTTCAAGTAGACTTGGAGAAACTCGACAATTGAAAGCTCCGAACGGGGGAAAACTTGGAGGAACGCCGAGCTCGAGTTAGGAAAGGGAATCGATTCCGAAACAGCCCTGGAGACCACGATGGGATTTTGGATGAATCCGAAAGTTTCGATTTTTCAACATTTTCCCCTCTTCTTTTTTTTTTTTTTTTTTCTTCAAGAAATACATCTCGCGGTGGATTCGTCACTCGAAAGGTGATGGGTCGAGGTTTTTCTATGGGTGGTATAGTATCGTGTACGAATCTTCTTCCAAGGGAGATACCAGACTGCCACGTCCGGTACCATGAGTCACAAGTGGTGCATCTCTTAATGCCTCGAGTGGGAGTAATTACGAGGATTAATTGAACTGACGACACGCTGACAGGGATCGGCAAAACCAGTGCAGAACGTACGAGGACAACCAGTCCTCCACCCTTGATGCGCCCATTCACCGGGTACTATACGTTCATTCATTGGATAGGGTCTATAGTTTGGTATAGTAACCACGTCCCATAATTACCGCATTGCTTCAAGGCTGATTATTCCGTTTTTATCTCTAAAATATCTATATGCTTATTTAATATCTTAGAGATAAAAACCTTTTTGCCTCAATTTACGATTTTCTCTTTGATTAAGTAGGACTCATAGTATGGTATCCAGGATTTCGCCTACATAATAGCTTATTATGATAAGTACTCAATATCAAGAATGACTATTTCGCATATCGCTAATAAAAGACATATTAGTAACGTTGATGCATGGTTATCGCAATTAACGATTGTCTCGTTCATTCACTGAATACAATCTGTGGTATGATATTACAGTAAAGCAGATAACATATCATCCGATTAGTAAGTAGCATCGAGACTGATTTTTTCCATTCCATTGCCCTGAAGAAATACACATTTTTGATACTTAGGCAATACACGGTACCCTGAGAGAATCATTTCACTGAATGCATTTTTTTTTATATTTATCCAACAATCGTTCTTAATAAGACCTCTTAACCTATGCACTGGGTTGCATCCGAAAACAATAAACTCGCCAGGTCTAATTTGCAAGTTGCCGTCAAGTTGTCCACCCTTGCCGGTAATTTCTAAGGAATAATAACGCGATTACAATACCCCGTGTACGTAGTGAAAACGCGGTGTGGAATTTCTCCGGTGGTTACTCTTCATTACGTGCAGCCGAGCCGTAAATCAACGCAGCGTATGTTTCGGTGCAACGATACACGACCTCACGTATGCACACGAGGATTGGCCCAGAATAATATATCGCCCCAACGGTGGAGGTCCGGATAATGCATTAAGTACCCAAATTGCACCTAAGCAATCATACGTTAGAGAGGCCACGAATGAAATGCTCGTGAAATCTATGCACCGCTGCACATGCACATGCATCTAAGGAGGTTTCGCCGAACTTCATGCACCGATTGCCAAGAGGGCCTCGTAGGCTGCACTTCCTTAAAGTGAACAATAAAAAGTTACTTAATATCATTACACAAATTAATAAAATATTTAACGTGTGCCTCCCACGATTTGAAGAATGTTTTATATATATATATCTTTTGTTTTAATTATTTATTTGGATTACTTTTGGACTTATCGGAGGTCGCGTAGGAATGCCGAATAATTGGGGCCATTTTCGCGGCGATATTTCGATATTTCGAGAGAATTTCGGCATTTCTAGACCTGCAGCCGGAATATGCAGACATCGATGGCCTTTGGGTCGGTCGCTCCCGGTATCGTTGCGGCCTGCTCATTTGCATTAAACAAATGGAATGCATTCCAAAGTGTCGCGTGAAAGCATCCTTTAAAGCCAAGATGTTGACTAGAGGGCCGACTAAAAAGTAGGTCGTGTAATGTTACCTTCATAGTGCTAAAAGCGCCGTCGTCAAAGGTCGGCCCTCTCGGGGAGTAACGAGGACGTTCAGCCTGCACGTACGCATTATGCACGGAAAATACTGCAATCCCTAAGTGACGGTTAAATAAATAAATACGTAAAGAAAATTGGAAAAATAGATATTTCACGAGACCTTCCTTATAGTCCCCGTATTCACTTTGTAACGTTTGAAACTAGTGAGTACACCTAGTACGGGGAGAAGTTTAATAAGCAAGACCTCTTTGGCATCCACTTAATGCATTTCTTTTTTCCTCCGTGAAGGAATATGGAAAATTCGGACTCTTTATTCTCATATCTGGAGTCCTTCCCTGCGGTGGCCGCACTTCTTCCGCTGACGCGTTCATTTTGGTAGGGCTTTCCGGGCGGAATGAAAGAGCGGAGGAATGCTTTTAACCGTATTTAAAGTATATTCGCGGAAAATGCTCGCGAGCTCTGCTGCTAACATAAAAGTGGATTAAAAGAATGGGAAGAGAGGCAGCCGGTTCGCCTCGCATCTGCTGGGGACTTCGGTCGATGGGATCTTCTCCTCTCTCTGTCTCTATCTCCTTTTCCTTAGCTTTATCTTTCATATCACCCGCCAGTTTGAAAAGCACCCCGGGACCTCCGGGAATATCCCGAACTATTTTAATAACTGGAATTATATATTCCCTCATCCGCGCCCTCCCCGTAGAAATTGGACTTCCGCTCCATCTGCCTCGTCCTCTCGGATTTCCGTAATCCTTTCAATTTAACGCCGCCTTTTTGCCCCAACTACAATTGGCCCTAATAATTAACAATTGCAATTACACGCCGCGAGCGGGTGAGAAACCTCCCACCCCCTTTTTACCCCCAAAATTCGGTTTGCTAAATTGTTTCCTGCACTGGTGGAATACCATTTCTGAAATTATTTCCTTTATTTATTACTGTTTTTCGTGATGGTATTCTTTAACTGGATAATCTTAAGGACGACGCTCCTCTAAAACTTCTTTTCGATAACGAAAAATCTCCTGAGCTCGTTAGGGGGTCCCTATTTCTTGTGAAAAAAGTGTCAGGGAGATAAGAGAAACACGAGGCCAAGTAATTAAATTTAATGGTCGTACTTATCGAAGGTTAAAAATTGCTTGTTAGTCTCGCCCGAAGTAAGCCGCGCGCTCTAGGAGAGCAATTTCGCCTCCCCCGTTTCTTTTTCTTGGCCGTAACTCGAAAACCAACATTTTCTTTCAATTCCCCGAGAAACCCCTCCCTGCGGTGAAAAATTCACCGTCAAATATTTCCCGGCATAACCGCGCGCGTTACTTTTTTAATTATTTAACGCAATCTCGCCCCTCGACTTTCCCGCCGGAGGCGCGTCCTCGGGAAGCTAATATTTTCCTTAAATTTCCCGGACCCTCGGTGTAGAAAAAAGGAGAGAGAAAATATATATATACAGTCCGACATTTCCCTCGGATACGATTGTCGCAGTTTTCATTTACCTTTATCCTATTTTCATATCCCATTTTCCAAAAATCTGTCCCGCGCGCGCGTTCGCCCATATTTCGATGAGATCGGGAGATTCGGAAAAACTTGGGATAAATTATATATATATATTCTTTTCGTTATTTTAGAATAAATTTCCTTTTACAGGTCCGTCCACGGATTTCAGCAGCTACGCGAAAGTGCGGCCGAGAGTGTTTCACGGGAGGAATAAAAGGGAGATTTCGTCGACACGAGAGGCGGTAAGTCCTTTGGAAAATACGATGCTCACCTGCCTTGACTTGACGCCGGTGTATGTCCTTAATATCATCTCGAAAATCCCGTTGTATATGCACTGTATGTATATTTTGTATATACCGTACATGCCTATACGAGCACGGGGCGCGAGAGACGGACGGGGCTGCTTTGGCTTTATATGCAAAACGGAGCTTCACGCTATGGTGCAACAATTTCAATGCAAATGTCGAGACGCCGACTGAATATGAAAATTGCCGGGGAACTTTAAATCGCCGGTCCGGAAGTAGTGCTTTGTCGGCCCTGGCGTGCCCCGGCCTGGTTCGATCGATCGATATCTCGAAAATCGCCGAGCTTTGTCTCACCTGAAAACCTCCCCTTTTTCTATTCTTCTGCATTTTTTAATATATTCGTCCAATCTCAACAATGCTCCCTTAATCGTCGGAAATTAAAGATCCGTATTCCTTGCAATTTCTGATCGCATTAATGTAACATATAATGACAAGTGAAAAATTTGATAACGTCCCTTGGTTTTTGCGAGAGTGATACCAGAAATTTCGCGATCCTGCAATTAAATGGCCGACGGTAATTACTTCCAATTATACGCCGTTAAAAATCGCTATCCTCGGCAATTTAAATATGCAAAGGTGTATTAAAATTAAAAATTCGAGGCGATGAACAGAATTATTACACAATATTTTTTTTTTTTTTGACAGAGCGAAAGTTGATTTACATGGGACAATTAATTTACCAGTTGGCTCGGTGCCCTGCCAGAAGTGTTATAAAAGTGACTGCTCAATTGCGATTCGAGCCCAAACAGTACTTCGCACCCTACGAGGTCCTCGGAAAGTACTCGGGGTTTTTCTCCTTTTTATCCTCGCATCCACCCTCCAATTTCCTCCTTTGTGCCCCCTCCCTTTGTGCCTATACACGTCGGGTCGAACTTATATACCGCGAGCACAAAGGGAAGTAAAGTCATTCCAAGAGTGGAGTCAGCTGTAGTCGGGCACTCGCTTTTGCTATTGACAATTGTAGGCGTTTGCGCAATTTCGAGCACTTACCTCGGAAATAAACTAGCGAACTTCTACCAGACTCCCTATCAAAGGAAGAGTTAAAAGTTAATAACATGGAATATACATTTAAAATTACATGGGACGCCCCCCCAATACCTTACATATGTAATGTAATGTACAAGTTGTAATCTGTACATTTTTATTGAAAAAAAAAAAAAAGGCAGGATTGCCTCGGTCTCGTTTATAATAAATTCCCATGACACCTTGAGCACTCTAGAAAAGTGGAAGTAGGGAAACAAGAGTGCAAGCAACAATTCCACCTTGCGCAGGTGTCACCTCGCTTTTTTATTCTCGGCGGATAATGCCATAAATGTAGCGGGAAGTTCATTCTCTTCGGTAGGAAAAATTTTCTCAGTTTCCCACGGAAACAAAGGAAACTCCGGATAATCTCCGGGAGAATGCTAATCGTCTTTGTTACTTACTTTCGCAGATGGCAAAGTAAATAAAAAGAGTCGCTTAATTGCGCGCCTAGGTATACATATACGTATGTATCCCTGTCGCATGCTCGCGAGTGCTCGGTTTGCGTTTAAATGATACGGCAAAGGGAGAAAATCCACTTTGGGCTAATACTAGCAAGAATTACCTGGAAAAAGTTTTACTTTCAGCCAGATTAAGGGAGACCCACTTGGAAGGCCCCTACAAATTACCGCACGGCAATTACCGGCTCGACTAATCGATTATTCGAGTTCAAGTTCGGTTAAGTAACTCTTGACTTGCGCCGAGCCAATTCGACCCTCGTTTCGAACAATTCTCATTCGAAGTGCTTCTGTATTTTCCAATCGAAATTCCTCCACGACAAATCGCTTCAATATGAAAAAGAAATTAATAAATGTCGCTTTTCCCAATTTTTCTTGCAAACATCTTGATTATACGTCGAGGTAAAAATCTGTAAAATTAAATCCTGACTGAGAATCCTATCCTGCGTAAAATCTCAAACCATAATCGCAAAGATTGTCCTAAAAAAACAGCTTTACCCTGCATCTGGCATGATATTTTCACAGCTGTTGGATGGTTTGCACGTTTGGGCCAAGCTTATCAAACTACAGATATTCGCAGATAAGATGACGAATTTTACGCCAGGTGCAAGAATTCTAGGTTTTCATTTTACAGAATAACTTTGAAGGTCCTTCTAGCCATGAAATCCCAAAACCCTCGGCGCATAATTATATTATACCCGAAAAAAAAAATTAAAAAAAAAATAAAACAACCCATGTAAATCATTTTACGCCAGGTGCAAGAATTCCAGGTTTTCATTTTATAGAATAACTTTGAAGGTCCTTCTAGCCATGAAATCCCAAAACCCTCGGCGAATAATCGCCGATACTATTCCTAGGTTCGAGTTTGCGGGCTGCTCGTCGCGATCAATGTTCCTTACACAATTGCCCGGCGAGGCAATTCTGGCATTTACTGTCGCAAACGTTATAACTGCCTCTGGAGGGCGATAGGAGACTGTTATCGCAACAATGAACCACTGTTAACCAGGAATCGGTCGATTCCGCCTCGTCGGGTCCCTCAATGTTTTCCCCGAAGACCCGTCGAACGAGACGCAAACCGCTCGATGACGACCCATTTGGAATTTAATCGTAGCTTCGATTACAATTTAACCCATACCAAAAGCCTCTGCCATGAATATATTCCTTGAGAAAAATCCGAGCGATCTCTCCCCAGGAAAATATCTCATAAGTCATTCATAAATGGGCAACTTGAAATCGTCCTATTGCTCCACTTTACCCGAAGATTCATGAAGATTTGCAAATAATGCCGCAAAGTGGCTCTTGTGTTAGTGGGATTAAAGTCGTTTAACTGGCCGAAAAGGGGATAAATTAAATTTCTTCCATATTTTCAGGAAGGACCTACTAATTGCGTGATTTTTTAATTCCAGGATCTCAAGCATGCCGATTTACTCACCGTTGGCCTCATGATAGACGGGGTGGAGCGACTTTTGGATCTCCGATTAAATACCGATCTAATACCTGTCGGTTATCAGCAACGTCACCAGGAAGGGGGCACGTATAAAGTGCATACGCCGTCGAAGGTGGTAAGTGTAATTTCTTTGATGACATCGTTAAAAACAAAACGGAGCATTGCAATCGTATAGCATTTCTTTAACTTTCCTTCGCACAAGGTGAAGAAATTTTCTAACGTATTTTTTAACATACGTTAAAACCACAGTACACAAGTATATTAAATTTTCGACAAAATTTCACGAATAAACTGTCGTTATAAAATCCCAAATCTATCCAGGAATTAATGATAAACGTACCCTAGGTCACTTTTAAGAAACCTTTATAATATTACAATTTTCACGAATTTTCTTCGATTCCCAATTTGAAGGCAAACCACAAGAGGCAACGTACAAAGACGTGGAAAAAAAATATCAATATCGATATTCAATGCATAGAAAGTGGTGATTAGTTAAGGATTTCGGTAATTGTGGGGTTAATTGTCAAAAGTAGCCGTTAAAAAATGGTAAGTCGGGGGATCGAGATTCCTGGAGGGATTGCAGACGCCGACCTAACCTTCAAGGTCGCCTCGGAAAATGGCGTCCGCCAGTCGCCGCTGCTCGAGACAGGTGCGACTAACTAAGGGGTGCGTGTTTATTAAAAAAAAAAAAGGTGGAGGAAAGAGAGCAAAAACTCAGGTTGCGTGTCGCGGCGGCATTTCACGCGTCCCTCGTGCCAGGTTTACGCTCGGTCGAATCGATCGAGTGAGTCACCGACTCGGCCGGGCGAGAGACCGATGACCCAAGAGGCGGCGCCGTCTCTCCACTCCCCCGGACGCGAACCGCCGATGCCGCGCTTCCGAGTCCTAATTTACCGACCGAGCGGCGGCCGCGGGAAAAACGAGGAGAGGGGAGGCGAGCGTTATTCCCGCGGGTCGAGAGCGCTGCCCTGACGGATGCGACGACACTCCTCCCCCGAGAGAGGGTCGATTGACAAAATGCTGGAAAACTCCGATTTCCAGCATTTCCCCCGAAAACGAAACGACTCGGTTGTATTCACTCAGGAAATCCTGGATTTTAATACCCGAGATCAGGTGGAGAAATCACCTTGAAATTCTTTATAATCCCCGAAACGTCATAATTTTAAGGCGAAACGTCACTTGTTACTAATCGCATTGTTCATCATATGGAACCAAAGGCAAACCCTGACGTTTTTTAATAACAGTTAAAATTAAATAACACCTCGGTTGATATCGCATGAAGAATGAGAAAGGCGGGCTTATCGTCATCAGTTTGAATGAATTCAGACTTCGTTGATATACACTTTCTTTTGACGAGCACCGTAAGATTTTCAAGTAAAATTCGATATTGAAAATGGCAGACGGTAACATATTTTAATAACCGGCGAAAAATAAATTACACCACCGGGGTGCATTTCGCTGACCGATGCACCTGCACTCACCCTCTCGGCGGATATATCGATATTTCAGCCGGGCCGAAAAAGGCAATAGCGGAAAAAAAAAAACGCATAGTCCGACTTCCGGGACTCTAACGAGAAATTCCGAGGTCCGGGCAAGCGGAATCCGCGGGCCGATTCTGCCAAAGCGTCCGGCCATATCGGACCCTCGGGAAGATCAAAGCGAAGTATTTGCCACCGGTCGTCGAATGTTGGCAAACGTTGGCACACAGGGGCTGCCTCGCTTTTGCAAAGTCCGGCGCTAACGAACCCTGCGGCCCCGCCAAAAGGGAAAATCGCGCGGAAGGGGCGGCGAAACTGCGGATCCGCGGATTCGCGAACTCCACGGCCCGGTTTCGCGTTTTCGACTATTCCCGCGTCAGACCTCGTCGGGCTCGATTTTCGAGAATTCGTGCGATTGAATGAACTAATTGAACATGAGGAATATCAGTTCCAGATTGTAGCTCGTTCTTGAGGCCATACTGGTAACCCTTAATCAAAAATTTCCTCGTTTTGACTCTGAATCTACTCTTTGAATTTAAATTTTGCCACTTTACCATTTTGTAAAAATATTTCTATACGTCGATTTCGCGTTTTCGACAATGCCCGCGTCGTGCTCGTCGGGCTCGATTTTCGAGAATTCGCGCGATTGAATTAACTAATTGAACACTAGGAATATCAGTTCCAGATTGTAGCTCGTTCTTGAGGCCATACTGGTAACCCTTAAACGAAAACTTGGTCGTTTTGACCCCGAATCTACTTTTTGAATTTAAATTTTAGCACTTTACCATTTTGCAAAAATGTTTTCGAAGCCCGGTTTCGCGTTTTCGACAATGCCCGCGCCAGACGGCCCGGTGCTCATTGCGCTCGTTGTACTCGGTTTTCGCGTGTCTGTGCAATTAAATTAATTAATTGAACATCCCGTCGCCGCGAGTTCTGCTCCTCCCGTCGCGTTTAATTCCGCGCATTCGTCCCGGGTAGTGTGAACGCCTCGATGACGTTATCTACTCGCGGCATCAACGACCTGAGGCACTGATAACGAGAAACCTAAATTACATAAAAGGGGTAGGGGGATGGAAAAAATTAATCTACCCCAGTCGTGATTTACAGGACGCGAAATAATAATACGCACATTTAGAGACAGCGCCCGGTCCTGTTAAAAAGATATTTCGGATTTGTTATCATATAATTGTAACGATTTCATTCATCTTCGGACGATGCCGTGTCATAAGGAGGGGTCTGAAGGAGGATCCGCACCTCTTTTTAATTTTCCAGGAACTCTGTCACTATCAAGGCAGCATCCGAGGCGTCCCTGGTTCCTGGGCAGCCGTGTCTACATGCAGAGGATTACGAGGAACCATCTTCGACGGCGAGAATTCCCACCACGTGCAACCGGAAGAGGGATCCTTGGAGTCGCCTCACTATCTATACAAGCAAAGCGACCTAATAGCTAATAAAACTTGCGGTAAATTGATATCCACATATATATATCAAAGCTTCTATCACTACCAATTAACACTCCACACCCTAAAGGTACAAACATAAAATTCCATAAAAAAAAAAATGTCTCGCGCTTTCCTACATAAATAATATATCTGTAACGCGTTAATGTGAGTTAATCTTATAAGCGCTATGGGCCCATAAGTGCGTCGGACGTTTGGTCGAATATTGCTTGCACGCCCTGACGAAATTCGCCCGTACGCCAAAAGGGCTTGGCGCTCAAAGGGACTAGTTTAGGGGATTCAGGGGTGGAGGCGCGGACTGATAATTTTTCTATTCGTCAGTTGAGCCAGCCAGGGACACGAGGACTCGTGAAAGCCCCCTTGTAGCTCGACATTGTATCCTCTTAAGGCAATCCCGGGTCTCCCCCGGGACCCGGTACTTGACGGTCGCGAAGAGATTCCCGACATGGGACTGGTCCTTCCTCAGGGCCTCGGCGACCATGAGAGCCAGGTTCCATGTGTGCTGGTCCTGGCTGGTTCTCACCCTTTCCCGTCTGCGAAGAGTCCCACCGCCAGTCGTTGATCCCCGCTTTTTGTTCCAGGATACCAGGGAACCGCACATCAGGTCGTCGATCGCGAGCATCGGCTCCATAAAAGATCACCAAGAGTAAGTGTGCCACTTCTCGGACATCTCCGGATGTTGTTTCGCTTGGGCCGATTTTTTGCCCACCCTTGTATATTCTTTTTTTTTTTTAACGCTCCCCGGAATATTCCACCGTGATAAAAAATATACCAGACACGATAATCCTTTGACGAGGATTTTACGTAAAATCTCCGCGCGGTTGGATTAATTAATTACCTCTCCACCTTTCAGATATATACGGATGTTGTTTCGCTTAGACCGATTTTTTTTACCCACTCTTGTATTTTTTTTTTCTCGTTCTGCGGGGGAATTCAGGCGTAATAAAAATAATGTACGAGACACGATTAATCCCTCCTTTGACGGCGATTTTATGTAAAATTCTCGAGGTGCGTCAAGCTAGCACGGCAACATCCCAATACACGATTTCTGAATACAGAGGAATTATGTGCTAATT